GAACTGGGTTTTCATCATTATTGTATCAATGACTATGTAGGGACTTTTGGCAAGTGATTCAACATCAGCCTTACGTCCCACATCTGGAATGCAGATTGGATTGATCTTATCTGGTAAGATGGTTTTTAAAGGAAAGAAAATTAATTGAAAGATATTGGCATATTTTCTGCAACTTAGCAAGTCCTCCATATATTGTTAGTAAAATTTCATAACTATGCAAATATGCTCATCTTTAATGTTCCAGGGTTTGCTTTTTTTTTTTTTTCTGAGTTTCTATTCATTTAGCTTACCTCATTTCCTACAGAAGATGAGGGGAAAAAAACCAATAAAATGAAGTTAAGGAAAGCCAAACAACTCATTTGTTAGCATTTAGGAAAATGACACTGGAACAAGCCAGATGCAGAATTGTGGAAATGTTAATGAGGCTTTGGCGTTGTGCAGCACAAGATATAGCTGACCAACAGATTGCAATTTGGCCACAGTATCTAATATTCAGGCAGTTTGCAGACATCAGTTGGTTTTCCTGATGATTCACTGAAATGGATGGGTGTCTTCAACTACTGGCATTTTTCTCGTTGCTCTCATCTCTACAAATTAGAGTTAGTCCTATGTACACTTGTCCCTGCTGATAGATTTTGAGATCCTAGAAAACAAATTTAGTTATTAGTCCCTGTGTTTCACAAGCCTGCCATGAATTTGAATTCAGCACATAATCGTTCATTGAATAAATAGGATCGTAATAGTGTCATTAAAAACATTGACCAGAAAATTAAAGCTGGTGGTTTCAAAGTGAGGATAAATCTCTAACTCTATCCCTTGAAGAGATATAAATAAAGGTACCAAGTTTTTGAGGGTATTTTAATGACAGGCTTCCCCCCACCCCGGTTATGGTAAAATACACATTTAAAAATTTTCATTTTAACTGTATCTTTCAGTGCTGTTGAGTTCATTCACATGGTGCAACCACCCCTGCCATCCAGCCGCAGAACTTTTTCATCTTCCCTAACTGAGCTACTGAAAGAGTTTTGATTCCACACTTGACTATCACATGGTTTTAAAGCTGCCTCTCTGGCTTACTTTTCTTGGGACAGCACTCAATCCGGTGGTGTTTCTTTGCACTTTTTGCAGAAGTGTGGGGGACTCCTCAGCGTGCCTCACTCAGAGAAGAGAACCTATGGGAGAATGGAGCTCACCCCTTCCTCCTGCTTCCCAAGGGGCTGTGTGGCTTTTTTCAAATCAATATGGGGGAAGCTTTACTCACTTTCATAAGTCTCAATTTTCCACAAGATAGACAAATTTAAGAAGAAGAGGAGGCTTTGTCATCGACTTAGGATGTTTAAAACCTCGACATAACTGAAGTATAGACACTAAATCATCACTCCCAGCCACCGTGCACATCTTTCTGCCTCCTCTAAGTCTTAATAATGCAGTTTTCATGTTTGCCAGTCTGACATGTCTCATTTTAATATCTCATTTACTTACTGTCTCACTTAATATTTTGATATCTCATTTTAATCTGCACTTCTGAACTTACTAATAAATCTGAGCATTTCTTCACATATCTATGAAACTTTTGAGTATGAATGCTTTGGCCAGATTTCTGTTGAGTTTGCATCTTTTTAAGCTTTATCTGTAGAACTTCCCTGCATATTAATTTTGTTGGTTTAAATCACTGAAAGTATCTTGCTGTGTTTTATTTCCTATCTGTAAATTTAAATGCAAAAAGTACCTTTCTATACTGTTTTGTGAAAAGTTTCATTTTGAATCTTAAATAGGAGTAGGTAATCCAATGGTTTTCTGCATTTGTTGGTATAATCTTTGAACTTTCTCCTTTAGTTTACTAATATGGTAATTTTTCTTGAAAAAGTGTCCTGATTTTTTAACTCTTTGCATTCCTGGGATACCATTCTTCACATTATGTTCCAAAGTTAGATAACAAAAAAATTGATAATTGCTATTATGATTAATAGATTCTCTTTACTGTTTTCTTCTTTTTTCTTTGTAATTCCTCTGTTGTTCTTTTTCCAACTTCTTGGGTATAATGCTGAACTTATCATTTCTTACATTTTTCTTGTTTTGTGATGAATAATTCAAAATTGTGAATAGCCTTCTGAGTTGTGTATTGTCTCTCTTAAAGGTTTGATATCTAGAATTAAATTTTTTTTTAAATTGTGAGTACTGTATTTCTCAATTTCCTTCTTATATCTTGGACTTTTTACTAATATTAATTTATTTCTAAACATATCTTTTTTATTACTAACTTGTAGTGTTTGGGTTTTATTGTCCCATATTCCAAGAACAGAAATCTGTCTGATACTATTTCTTTGAGAATTACTGAAATTTCTTTTATGGCCAAATAACACAGTCCATTTCTATAATTGTTCTTTGTGTGATTTCCCAAAATGCATTTTGTGTGTCTAAATTGTAGAATTCTTTTATATATTATCTTGAGCTTATTGTCTTATTAAAGTCTTCAGTATCTTTCTTAGAAAAAAATGTTCTACCTTATTATTTTCCAAAAGAGGTGTGTTAAAATGCTTGTCTCGTGGTCTTTTCTTAGCTTTGATATTATTCCTTAACCAATTTGCCCTTTAAGTTCAATAAACAAAGCAGCCAAGTGTAAGTGCTCTGGGGAAATGGTCTTTAATCAAACCTCTTCTCAAGGCCCCATCTCTACCCCAAAGCACCTGTGCACAACCCCTAAACTGCAGTATTATTACTGGAAACAATCTATCGATTAACCTTTTTACCTTTCAATCTTATTTCTTATCACCCACCACTAACCCAAAGAGATTCCAATTTGTAGCCCACCAGTGCTGCCTCATTCCCTCCTCACTTCACCTGCTCATGTGCTTTTTCTCTTGTCATCTCACCCACCAGGAGTCTTCTCGTGATCAAATTCTGACTCTTCCAAGAAATCTTTTTAAGCCATATTAGTCTTTGAATTCTAAAAGCAACTATCACTACCACAATTGATGTAGTAGTATTTATTCACTAACTTCATTCACTAATAAATTAATTTTTCTCGGTGCCCAGGAATTGTGGTAGTCAGACCTTTTATTTAAGTACTTGAAGTTGTTTAATATCTGTTGTGTTATTGGCGCTGTGCAAAGATCTTGAGGATAATGTAGATCTTTGTTTGCTAAAGTTCCCACCTAGCATCTTGTTCTTGGTAGCTGAAAAACAAAAATGTGTTGGGGTAATTTATCTCACTGTGAATACAACTTAATGTTTTTCCTATGTAGAGGACAGTTTTATGACATTACAAGTCCTTTGTTTTACTGTATTTTACTACATGTTTCTTATTAACAAGCTGTCCTTGCAAGTTAAGATTCTCTTCTAAAGCAGAGAGATATAATCTCTATCTTAAATAAGCAGCCTCTTATGCTAGTTCTTGTAATATAAATCTATGCATAGAATTGTTTTTACAGATTTAAGTTTATCTACTTATAAAACCATGTTTGTTAAGGTTGATAAAGTGATACAATGGAGGAGGCTGTCTTCCTTTCTCCTCTACCTTAAGACTAATTATTTGATTTAAGCTTTTAATTAGCAAGGTCCCCTCCTAAAGAGGGTCACCATAATATAAGTGAAGCATTAGACTGAACATGGAAAGTTCCAGGAAGGTTGGAATCTAGCAATTTGTTATGCAGCAGATGAGACCGTGGCTGCAAACCTCAGTATTCACGTAGTCTCTAGGCTCGGGGACACACCCAGCCTGAGTAGAATGGGCCGCAAGACCTGCCTTAAGCAGGTCCTGTAGTGTGGCTTGTTGCACTGAACCAGCACAAGTGAGATGTAGCAGGCCAAATCCTAAAATGTAGGTTAGACCATAAAGGAGAGAGAGGTAGCAGGGTAAGACACGAGATGAGAAAAAGGAACACTTGCCAACCGTGGACAGTTAAGTCCTTCAGCGTATACTTTATTTAATTTTCCCCAACATCCAGGAAACGAGTATTATCATGCCCATTTTCGAGACAAAGAAGTAAAGATAAAACGTTGTATAGATTTATGGATATGAGTAAATGTGAGATTTGTGGATTGCGTTTAGATCCAACAGCAAAACCAACATCCCTAATTCCCTTGCTTTTGATCACCTAACCCAATGTTATTTTGTACCCTTTATATAAAGAATATATTTATTTTTATTGTTTTGTCATGATATATAATAGTGGGATTCATTATGCCAAGAATATATTTTAGAGTAAATATGTTTTCAGTGTATTTTAGAATAAATTGTTGACTTTCTTTCCTGCTGGACCATGAATGCATGAAGTAGAAGCCATGACTGAGGAAGCACTGTGTCTTTAAGACCCAACATTTTAATTGCTTGCTCAGGAAATAGCCTTTGTTTCCCCCTTTTGGAGGCAATGAGGCTAGAATCCGCAGTGTATTGACCATCTTAAATAAGAAATCCATCCATGGAAAGTCTAGGCCAGTATGAACCAGAACAACATGAGGTTTTTACGGTTGAGCTGAACTTCTTAGGCCATGCTGACTGTATTAGACAAAATACCAGAGGGAATCAACTTATAAGGAGGAAATTTTTATTTTGGTTCAAAGCTTCAGAGGTTTCAGTCCATGGTCACTTGGCCCCTTGCTTTAAGGCCTGTAGCAGCACAGTATATTATGATAGGAACACATAGTGGGGGTTTTGCTCACCTAATGGTGACCAGGAAATAAAAGAGAGAGAGGCAGAGACTTGGGTCCCAATTTCCCCTTCCAGGGGCTGCCCCCGATGACCTAACTTCCACAAACAAGGCCCCGCCTCTCAAAAGATTCCACCACCTATAGGTAGTGCTACTAGTCGGGAACCGAGCCTTTAACTCATGGGCCTCTGGGGGTCATTTCAGATCCAAACTAAGCACTACCCTTAATTACTTCATTCTAAAAGAGTGACCCTTGGAGAGGAGAACGCCAGGGAAATGCTGGTGTCTCCATAATACAGAGTCAACTGCTCTATTTAATTTTTTAACTTACTTTTTTTTCCCCCCTCACAGAAAAAATCAGGCAAAGGTATGCAGACCTACCTGGAGAACTGCACATTATTGAACTTGAAAAGGATAAGAATGGGCTGGGACTCAGCCTTGCCGGCAATAAAGACAGGACACGGATGAGCATATTTGTGGTAGGAATTAACCCAGAGGGACCCGCTGCAATGGACGGACGAATGCGAATTGGAGACGAACTGTTAGAGGTGAGAGGCGTATGTGTTGAATTCTCTTTTGGTTATGTGGAGAGGTTCGGAAAATGAAGTGAAGGGGAAGAATGTTGACAAATTATATTTTCTTCAAATATTTAAAATAATTTTCCAAAACAAGAATAGAAAATACTGTTTCGAATAGTATTTGCTGCTTGAGGAGGGACTAATCTCAGAAACTATCTTAAGACCCCTTAAGTAAAAATTTCATGGAAACATTAAAAGCATAGGGCTCGGGCTAGGAGGATAGCTCAAGGGTAAAATCTTCCTTAGCATGTGCAAGACCCAGTTATCTTTGGGGTTGGAATAAACCATAAACATAACTGTTTGTTACTTAGGGGGAAGTTTTTAGAGCCAACAGAAGCCTGTGAATTTGTCAGAAGTAGTTAATGCCTGTCAGATTGGTGATGTGGGTTAAGACCATGAAGGTTCATTATGTAGGAATAGAATAGAACTCAAAGAAGCTAAGGAGAAGACTAATCTTCTGATATTACTCTTTAGATGATTTCATCAATAACCTGAAAAGATTATTCTTATTTTCTTAAATTTAAAGTCAGGTCTTCTGAGTTTCTCTTAGTTTGATATTCATTTGCTTGCTGGGTCACTCATTCTTTTGGCTACCAGTTTTTGATTGTCAGGACCAGACATAAAAAAGAAATGAATAGGGTTGGAGATGTAGCTCAGCCTACTATGGGTTAAGTCCTCGGGTCATTCCCCAGCGCTGCCAAATAGAAAAAGACAAATACATCAAGTCCCTTCATTCAGATAGTTGAAGAGGTCTTTGCACTCCAGGATTTAAAATATAATAATAATAAAAGTTAACAGCCAATATATACTTACCACCAGACACAGGAATCTCTTTCACCACTGAAGTCACAAAGTATTAAATAATTGTGCTGGGATTCAATATCTGGCAGTTAGACTTTTTAGCTCTTTTTTAGCCACTCTGCTTTAAGGTCTCTTAGAAAAAATGCCCCCGTATTTGGACATTTAGGAGAGACTAGTCACAGGGACACTGAGTTTCAGACTGCTTACTTGAAATGAAGGATTTCCTCCCCAGATTCCAACTCAGAATTTACAGTACAACTCAGTAGAATTTACAGTAAATCCATAATTTGCCTAATCATATCTGGAGGGAAAGCTAGTCAGATGCAACTGTGAGATAGTCGGCCTCACCTGTCAAATGTCAGCAGCTTCTCCCCACTTAAAATCTGTTTCTACAAAGACATCACTTGTGGGATGGCTTTGCTGTTCCTGTTCTTTTGTAACATAGCATCATGAAGGAGACCCACACTGGTAGACACACTAACTAGAAGAATTATTTAATAAATAAGTCAAAGGTGACTTGTTCATTAGTGAATATAATTAGTATAATTATAGTTAATACAATTCATTGCTTCAAGTATTTCCTTTGGCAACTTTTTAGAGAATTTCTTAGAGATGAGGCTAAACTGATAATAATGATAAAAGTGAGAGCTAATTTACTGAGTTATTGTTAACACTGTACCTATACATCCTACACATTTGTATTCAATGTTCTTTAGAGCCCTATATGGTCAGTACTATTACTATTCCCATTTTATGGGTAAGTAATATGCCTAATATTATAGAACCAAGTGTCTTAAGTTTGAATAATAACCCAGAATTAACAGACCCCAAGACTCATACTATAACCATTGACATGTACTGTGTTCCCTATGGTGTTCCGTTGACAAACATGTCATGTTTTAGTCTGTTTTCTGTTGCAAATAACACAATACCACAGACTGAGTTATAAAGAAATTAGATTTATTTGGACTCATGGTTCTGGTCCAAGGTTGAAGGACCACATCTAGTGATAGCCTTGCTGGCAGAGTCCTGAGATGGCACAGCATTCTAGAAATGAAGCCAAGCTAGCTTTCATAGCAGACTCACTTTTTTTTTTTTCTTTTTGGTACTGGAGATTAAACTTGGGGGCACTCGATCACTGAGCCACATCCCAACCCTATTTTATATTAGAGACAGGGTCTCGCTGATTTGCTTAGAACCTCACTTCTGCTGAAATTGGCTTTGAACTCACGATCCCCCTGCCTCAGCCTCCCAAGCTACTGGGATTACAGGCATGCACCACCAGCCCCATCCAGACACACTGTTAAGATAACCTATTCACCTACCAGTAGCATGAATGGATTAACCAGTGCATGAGGGCAGAGCCCTAATCACCCTTAAAGGTCTTATCTAATCTTATCTCCTAAGTATCAGCATGAGTTTTGGATAGGACGAACCACAGTCAAACCATTGTGCTCCATTTGTTTAGATCCACGAAATTCCCAATGCATGATGTTCTAGTCTTTAGGGAATCATGTCTATTAAGCCTCTCTACTTGTTATTCATATCTAGACACAGACTTCCTGGCATGGTACATGGAAACACTCCAAAGGTGATAATTTGGAACATGAAGATTCTACCTTATTAAGACTCAAGATGGAATTTCCTGTAGAATCTAGACTAACAGGAGCACTGATGTTTTATCTCTCCATCTGGCATTTGATTAGATGATAACAAACAATAGCTGCAGAGTAATGAGTATCTCACAGGCCAAGCGTAAAGATCAACACGATACAAGGGGATGAGCACTAGACCTGAAAAACCCAGTTCTTTGGGTGGTAATTGTGTTTTAGAAGAGGTTTAGCACAATGCTTCTCTTACACTGTCACCACAACACCAACAGATGCCAGATGTGTTGAAAGCAGAAAAACACAAGCAGTTCCCCAGTGAACACAAATGCACATCCTAGAATTAATTTCAGTTCTGACACTGTCTACCTGGAGACAGTGGAAATTCCACAGGTCACACTCCCATAAGACTGGGTCCTGCCACTGCAAATGTTGTTCACAAGTCCCAGGTTATGCCCTATACTCCTCATTCACCAGCCATAAATTAGGGGCTCCCATGCTCTCCTTTTCTTTGATTTGATTAATTTGCCAGAACATCTCACAGAAATCAGAGATACACTTATTGCTTACCCATTTATTATAAATGATATTACAAAGGACACGAATGAATAGCCCCATAGAAAAGATGCATAGAGCAGAGTATGGCAAGTGGGGCAGAGCTTCCATGCTCTTTCTGGGCACAGTATCCTCCAGGTACCTCCCTGTGTTCAACAACCCAAAAGCTTTCCAAACCCTGTAGTCCAGGGATTTTGTTTTTGTTTCTGTTTTTGAGAAAATATCTTACTATGTTGTCCAGGCTGGTCTCAAACTTTGGGCTCAAGTGATCTTTCCTCTTTAGCCTCCCAAGTGCGAGGACTGTAGGCACACACCACCAGGCCTGTCTTAGTTCAAGAATGTTTGAATTGGGGAGAAGCGGCTGCAGCGCCAAGAGGAGGCAGAAGGCAGATAACGTGAAGCCGCTGGGTGGGCACCATGGCCGGGATCACCACTGTCGAGGAGGTGAAGCGCAAGATCCAGGTTCTGCAGCAGCAAACGGATGATGCCGAGGAGAGGCCTGAGCGCCTCCAGCGGGAAGTTGAGGGAGAAAGGCGGGCCCGGGAACGGGCTGAGGCTGAGGTAGCCTCCTTGAACCGAAGGATCCAACTGGTTGAAGAGGAGCTGGACCGTGCTCAGGAGCGCCTTGCTACTGCCCTGCAAAAACTGGAGGAAGCAGAAAAAGCTGCTGATGAGAGTGAGAGAGGTATGAAGGTTATTGAAAACCGGGCCCTAAAAGATGAAGAAAAGATGGAACTCCAGGAAATCCAGCTCAAAGAAGCTAAGCACATTGCAGAAGAAGCAGATAGGAAGTATGAAGAGGTGGCTCGTAAGTTAGTGATTATTGAAGGAGACTTGGAACGCACAGAGGAATGAGCTGAGCTGGCAGAGTCCCATTGCCGAGAGATGGATGAGCAGATCAGACTGATGGACCAGAACCTGAAGTGTCTGAATGCTGCTAAAGAAAAGTACTCTCAAAAAGAAGACAAATATGAGGAAGAAATAAAGATTCTCACTGATAAACTCAAGGAGGCAGAGACCCGCACTGAGTTTGCCGAGAGATCGGTAGCCAAACTGGAAAAGACAATTGGTGATTTGGAAGATAAGCTGAAATGCACCAAAGAGGAGCACCTCTGTACACAAAGGATGCTGGACCAGACTCTGCTTGACCTGAAAGAGATGTAGAGCTCCCCAGTCCCGCCCTGCTGCTGCTCCTCCCTCTGACCCTGACTCTACCTGAGGCCAGCCAGCCCGAAGCTGACCTTGAAACTGAGGGCTGATCTTTAACTGGGAGGCTGCTTTCTCCTTTCAACACCCCCTGGAACCCCTACCCCCTTGTCTTTTTCACCAAACTGTGTCTGCTTCTTCCCAGAGATTCCAGCTGGGCTAGAGGCTGAGCACCTTTGGGAACAGCATTTAAGGGAATGTGAGCACAACCCAAAGTGTCTTTAAAAGCATGTTGTGATATACACATTTTGTAATTACTTTTTTTGTTGTTACAGTAACCATTTGTAAAACATTCCAAATAATTTCATAGCTCTGAAGCAGCAATCTAATTCCCTTCTCACTTGTGGAAGGTAACTTTCCAGCCTAGTCCCTATTGCCCTCTCCATAGAGGAGGAAAAGAGGAATGGGCCTGCCTTACTGAGAGCCAAACAGAGCCCAGGGAAAGACTCTACTATGGCAAACCTCATTGCTCTGTGCAAAGTACCAGCCAAACCAGAAAGGTGATTCTAAGAGGAGATCGCCAAAAAACAAAAACCTTGCTTATTCAGGTTTTGTTTTATTTTTAGCTTTAAGGTATCTTTAGACACTGTATTCTTATTTTTTACTTTTTTTCATCAGAAATGACCAAATTAACATGGTGAGACCTCTGAGACTTTTTGTTTTTCTGGTGCTGGGGATTGAACCCAGGGCCTCATGCTTGTTCGGCAAATGCTCTACCACTGAGCCATATTCTTAGCCCTGAGACCAAATTTTTCTCCCATCTCTACCCACTTCCCAAGTGTTCACAGAATGGATCACGGG